TTTTTTTTTTTTCTTATGTGCTTCCATACAATACGTTGAATATGGGTCTTTGTTTCAGGGTCTCACACGAAAGCCCTTCATCTCTTCCGAAACAGTCGCCCTTATCGTTTGCGTGGCTGCTCTTTATTATGCCGTTAAGCAAAAATCGGAAATTACTCATTAGATCGTAGATAATTAGCGGTATTCTATACAGATCTAAATCAAATTTATGTTTATTTAATTGAGGTGACACGAAGAACTGAGTACGTACTCACCTGGAGCTACGTGTTTCGTTATTTCCACACATGTGATTTTATTTAATTTGCCTTGTTCATTTGTTTGATTGCATATTTACCTCGAGTAAACGGTGTTGAAATATTTATTTTTTACTAGTACGGTCTCAACCGTGGATCCTGGGCAAGGTTGTATCAATTGTGTCATTCGCCTTCAGTTGTTTTGCTTCCATGTAACAAAACACGATTTTATCATGTGTCCGTGTGTGTTTAGTGGTTTATTGTGTTGCTCTTATCTAGCGGCAGAGAAACAGTCAATTTTAAGGCAGTCGGGTAGTTTGGGATCAGAAAGTTCTTGAATTGATTGAGGATGAGTATCTGATGTGGCTCATCTAGGATCTGGTACGCTAAGCTTTAAAGATTATAGTATGAGATAGTGAAATCGGGTATTGCATCACTGGGGAATGGTGAAGGGCGTCCCTGAAGGTTGTCTTGTATTCGCTTGTATTTGGCCAGTGCTGATATCCGTGCCCACTAGGTGAGCTATAGTTCTTGAATTCAGCTGTTTAGCATTCTTCAGTGCTTATTTTTCTGCCCTTCACCAGTGTTACGGGGCAAGATGGAGGAGGTTCAGGCGGCTTGTTGAGTCACTAAGCCATGGTCGGCCTGTCGCCGTTGGGAATGATGGTGCGTTGCTAGCACATCCTTCGTCAACACAGTTCTATGAAGGGGTAAAAAATACCTACATCTGAAGTCGTTTCATTTCCATCTGGAATGCAACAGTAAAAGGAACGACTTTTAAAGCCTGTCTATCCTATCTCCTATTTCTGACACAATTTCATTCGCTGGTTCGACTTGTTTTTTTTTTCGAGCTTTTTGAAGCTGTTCCTGTTTTTGAACGATTCGTTAATATCTTAGTACTATAGTAGGGGAAGGCACCAGAATATCAAGAAGGACTGTAGAGCGGCGTGGCTAGGCTCATGGGCTCTTATCGAACTTATACTTTGTAGTGAAGCCCTAGATGACTCGTTCTCGTTTGGACGCTCTCTAGTGTTACCATTATTTTTACATTTTCGATAGTAGTGTATTCATAGAGAATGGATCCTGGATGAAAACTGAATCAGGGATACAGAATCGGGGATGATCAACGTCAAAAAAATTCGTCCTTTTACTTTGTTCTTTGCGTGGCCGTGATCGCCGACTGATCTTTGCGATTACACTACCCAAGTACTTGGACTTCTGATGACTTTAACCTTCTGTGTTAAGAAAAATGTTGAATTTCTGGAGATATGGCAGACGGGCAGCACTCAGCTCATGTTACCAAATACGTTGCTGTTCCGAATTGCCTACAAGCACGTTGCTTTATCGTGGAAAACTGCAGTACACCCCCGTCGTACGGCCGGTTGCATCTCTTCATACCAGTCCATATGTCCTCGACCAAGGCATGGTAAGAAGGCTACTAATTTCACTAATTCCCATAAAAACGTGCTACTCAGGAGGATAAGCGTCGCTGGCCATTCCATGTCACAATGACTGATGAGCAAAAACGAAAAAAGCAAGAAAAAATTGATGCAATGAAGGAGGTACGTTCAATGGACTCAGCCTGAGTAGTTGTTGTTGAAGACTAGGTAATGTCTTGAATTGATATTACTCATTTGTTAGACAATTGGAAGAGCAGATTGCGTTCCTAGCTGTAGACGCGCATTTTATTGGTGATTGTGCTGTTCTGCAAAGATTAACGAGAGCACAGAGATCAGTACTTCAACCTTCACGCAAATCATTCTTTTGCTTTCTCTAGCGCCTCTGTTTACCCAAAAAGTTGACTGTTTATGACCACGACTAGGTGAACGACTTCGCTGATTATCTAATGAGGTAAGATTTAATGTGCAATAAACTTTACAGGAAAAGGAGCCAGATACATTATTTGGCAAAGTGAAATACTACCTCAAGCGTTACTGGTACATCGCGGTCCCTGCTCATATGGTTGGTAGTACAGCATGGCTTGGAGGGCTTTATGCTTTAGTACATTGGTGAGTATTTCTGGTTATGGTTTTTACCAAGCGATACTTTTTGCTATTGACTTACTCTCTCTGACTCTCGAATACTCAACTGATTTGCTTTTAAGCGGTGTGGATGTTGTTGCGCTACTCCAGACTCTGCATATGCCATCAGTGGTAATTGAGAAAATTCAGAATGTTCCTCCAAGTGCCGGTGTTCTTGTTGTTGCTTTGCTTTTATACAAGGTACACAGTTTGATTGCTTGAGATTCGATTTCGTCTTTATCGAAATGTGAGTATGTGTGGATGAAAAAGGTGAACGAGTTTCCTCGGAGCATCCACGCAAAATTTTCTGCTAATGAAATCTGCTAGAAACTTGGAATACCAGTATCTAACCGAATGAGCTTTTAAGGTAGCGACACCCCTTCGTTACATGACCACGCTTGTTCTTATTCAAGCGGCGTTTTGGACGTTACGTAGAATGGGGAAACTTCGCACCGCAAGAGAAGTCGAATTTAAGGTTTGTATAGAGCAATTCTTTCCTGTGTTCCGATCTATTCCTTTATGATCTAGTTGGAATCTCGGAATTCATTCGAAATGGCCAGCTGTTCGATTAATTGTATTGAAATAAAATAATGTAAATAAATGTATAAATGTAAAAATAATAAATGTAAATAAGACGTCGTGCTACTTGAGCAACGAACTGGTACGAGGCTACGCCTTTTCAATGGTTTTTTTGCGAGCCTAATTATGTACATCCCTTAAATTGAGCGCTGACGGAATGCCCAAATTAGATACTTTAGATGGGTCATCAGATAGAAGAAATCACAGTGGCAAAGGGGGTGCACCTCCATCAATATATATTGTTTCTGTCCTCCTAGTTTAACACTGTTCTATTCGTTAGGCGCCACTCTTTTCTAATGGGTGGGGGGTGGATGAGTGGGGAACAGAATCGGGATTAGCTCTCGAAACACGTCCGATTATATTGTCTCACAATAAATCTTGATCCAGAGAACTCAACAACGAAAAAAGCAAAATAGATGGCGTAAGCACCTCAGCTGTGAAGAAAGTGAGGTTCAGCTTACAGCAGGGCTTTATCTGCATGACAAGGAAGGAATTGCGAAGCTTACATTGGCTCATGATTATCGAGTAAGGTTTTCTGAAGTATCCTTCTGTATTTTCTCATTTTTCAGATGCGTACTGAATATGAGAAGAGCAAAATCAAGTACGGTAGGAAGCTTTACAGGTAGGTGGCGATATCTCATGTTTGCAATGTCTCTTATATCATTTCGGGCATGTAGTGCGTATACTGTCAGGTATCGTAACATGGGTGTACGAGACGTATTGCGAAAGAACTCCAGAGGTCATATAAGAAAAGATGACTCCGACCAATCAAATCGCAAGAATTGAATTTCCACCGTTTCAATGTTGCCGGTAACTGTGCTCTCATTCCACTTCACCTGTTATTCGAATGCCACGCTTCTTTTTTCTTTCATTTCTGCTCCTGATTTCCTCGATGTAGCTAGCCACCGGGCCGATGGATGAGGCAGACCTAACGCTAACAGGCATTCCGGTTATGGGTGCGGGCGCCCTTTTCATGAGCACATGTAGTGGAGGCCATTGCAAAATTCATTTTTCGCATTAATGCTCTCGTTTTCGAACCTCATTTCGTTCTTTGTTTTTTTTTTGGCTTCGGTAAATACAGAGCTCCTCACTATTTCCTTATAGCATCTTGTAGGTTGTATAAATCACGACCCATCACTGCCTGCGGCAAGTAAAGGTGCTATGGTAGACATTATGCCTCTCACAGCTTGGTCGCATCGGACATTGAATCTAAAGCTTTTCATTTTTCTGTACCGTTTAGGGTATTGTGAGAAACAGCTTTAATAGCTATATTTTGATAGCTGAAGTTTCGACCATTTTTCCATTTCGGTATCGAAACCACAGGCTGAGTTTTGAAGGGTGTAACCAATTAGCTTAGATGAGGAGAATTGCTGATGCGATATAGTTGAAAAGAGAAGTGGCAGCACTTCCGTTAGAATTCGGAAATTGCTGCTCTACAACTAGTTCCACCGAAATAGGATTCGCTATTCACTTCTCTCTATGGTAGTTTATCTCGATCTTCACCGAAGCCAAGGATCTGATATTACAAATTTCCTCTTTGTTTTGTGGACACTGCGTCTTCAGTAGCGGCCTCTTTCTGTGGTAGAAGCTATACGTGTTGTTATAGGGTTTAGAAGCTGTACATGTTGTATTAAAATTTCTTAAGTCATTAATTGCTCAGTCGTTTGTTACTGTAAATTGCTTGTTGAACTTTCTAGTCTTTCATTTTGCCTATAGCGTATTTCTAGTTATCACATTCGAAAAATAAATATAGTTTGATGCTTAGTTAGATCGTGGAAAGCGAAATGACCGGACGGAATTTCCCATTTATCTGCTCATGTGTGGGTTACCGGTATAGGAGATTTTTCAAATTTTGCAGGTTGATGCTAACAACAGTAGCTCGAAGAATTATGTCAAGTTTGCCCGAAAAGGGAAGATCACTTGTAAGTACAATGCAACGCTTTGGTTTTGGTAGTGTGAAGGAACCGATTTCTGCTGATTTTTCCTAAACTATCCTAGTGTTTTCTTTCTAATCCAACGAGCGGGTCGAAAAATGAGAAGAGAATCGTTTCTTAATCCTCGCTCAATAGTTACAATTGTTCCGCGTGGTGATCTTCGGGGGATGTAAGGTTTCACCTAATGCTGCCCTCCAAGGCCCTCTAAGGGGGATAACAGTCGATGAGATTTCCTCGTGATGGCTTTACGAACATACAGCTTGATGTTACACAATTTTGTGCGTTGGGTGGGTTCTTGTGTAGTTGATTAGAAATATGTTCAAAAAAACGAGGGATTTGGATGAATGAAAATGCCTGTTGTAATGCTTGGGTCGGCCATGATACGTGGTTGTTCGCTTCGACGGTACTTTTAGATTGCTGTATGTCAACTTACAAGCGATCACGATATAGAAAAGAATTTTGCGATCTGTAAGGACATGATCGAAAGAGCGAGTTCACAGAGATGTAAGGTGAGGGGAGAGAATTATGTGTCAGAAAGACGATGGTATGTATGACGAAAGCTGGAGTCACATTTTCAGATGATATTCTTTCCGGAGTGCTTTGACTCTATTGGTAGGAACCGGGAGGAAACCATAAATTTAGCGATAGAAGAAGAGAGCCCATTTATTCGGCGTTTCAGGTACTCTGTGTATTGACCTGAGTATCTTTTGCGGTGTACACTAAGTCTTTCAGGTCTTTAGCCAAACAGCACGGTATCTGGATGTCTCTCGGTGGCTTTCACAACAAGGTGAGCATGTTATTTGCAACACAATTGCTGTAATTGGCAGTATTTTTATTACTACTATTGCCGTTGGTATTCACCTGTATCACCTGTATCCAACTTGTCTTCACGAATCGAGTTACTCAAAGTCGACTTTCAGGTTCCTTCAATTCCTTCAAACAGCAATCTGTATTGTCTCGACACTCGTCTAACGTGACACCGATCGAGCCGATCGAGGGGGGGGGGGGGGGGGGGGGGAAAGCGAACTACGGCAGCAACGGGGTATCCACTATGCCCTAAGCGCCGAGATTGTGGGAGCGAGAGGGTCCTTTCTACCACCCATGGGGGCGCTGAGTATTCCTGAAAGAAGAATTCGGTAACCTTTTTTATCGTGAACTGTGCCTTTAAGGTCATCGTCTACATTGTTGGCCGAGCATATTTACCATCGAATCGGTCCTCCTCATTATAAGCCTTCTCGGCGCTAGCATGTGATCCAGCCAATTCGTAAGCCGTAAAGTATAAAGCGCCGCATGACCAGTCCATTCTCGTTAACGTTTATACGTTTCCTGGACAACATCAATAGGACCATTTCGTGTTTGCAGCTCTGTATTTGTGATATGTTCCGAAGTGACCTTGCATCTTCTGCGCTCCACTGATCTCTGCTTCGCAGCAATTTCTCTTTGTCTGCTTTAGTGGGCGTTCAGCATTCTGCGCCGTGCCTCAGCGCTGGTATCACCGTCGAGTGAAACAAATACGCCTTGAGTTCCATCGAGAAGTCATCGTCTAGCACTCCAGTAAGGTTTTGTTGAAGTCAGACCGAACTGCTTTCCTGGGCCTGCAGTATTCTCCGCTATTACCTTCCGTAAAGTTGTGCACGTGTCCGAGCTACTTACTGTTTCCTGCTTCTTCGATCCTTTCGCCATTTACTTCGACCGTCGCTGTAGAACTGAACCGACTGTGCATCCACTTCGTTTTTGATAATTTCATTTCAAGTTCGATTTCACTTGATTTTTCCTGTCAAAATGGAGCAATCGTCGGCAAAAAGCAAANGAGCATGTGTTATCCGTCGTACTCTATGCCTACTGTTCAGTAACGATCTTATAGCCTTTACATATTTTTATTTCACATGGATCGTTAAAAGCTTCATTTCTGCGGTACAGCCACTGTTCAGTTCTTCCAGAAGGTCGGCACGTCATGAACTAGTACTAAATCTACTCATCGCAAATGGTGTTGCGTTTATTTGAACGAGTCGAGAGATTTTCGTAATCAACGAACGCCATCCTCGAAGGAATTCGAGGCTCTTCACATTTTTGGCAAGTTGGCGTGCAACGTGCAGATGATCGAGCGTGGGGCATCTGTTGTGTATAGGATGAACTGAGTTGTGTATAGGAATGATTTGATATGAATTGTTATCGTGAAACCCTGCTCTATATAAACCTAACTTGAATAGGGTTGGCACTTCTTCGACTACTACTTCTTCATCTCCTTTTTGCTCACGACTACAATGAACCGGTCGTCTTACTAAAGTGTAAGGACACAACAGTATCTACTTCGAAATAGGGCTTACTCTCTGATCATGACAATGTCCAGGTAATGAGCCGAAGGCAAACCGGATTTCAAAGTGGATTATGACTATTGTCGCGTAGCGCGTGTCGTACTGCTAGGTTTCAGCCGGTAGAAGTTGTCTAGGGGTTGAGGTCCAAATAGAGAGCCTTTATTACTGAATAACAAAGAGAAGAAAGAAGAGCTGCCGCTCGGCAGTTAGAAGAAGCCGGATATGAGCGATATGGGCGGATCTACCGCCTTATATAGTGGCAGTACTGTAAGGTCCAGTAACAGTTTCGAAATACATCCTAAGATGGATATGAGAAACAGATATGTGGTTGCGAAACATATTGATTAGAGACAAATATACAAGTGTGTACAAATAAGTGGGTTAAGCACCAAATATAATTAGATTAATATACCAATAATGAGGTAAAAACAAAAATAAAGCGCCGTTAGACACCCTGTATCTACATGCCCCGCTTACAAAAGAGTCGTCCCGGCTCGGATCACTTTAAGCGTGGGTCGTAGCGGCGTGGTGGGCAATCCCGGCAAAAACGTGCAGGTTGGTCCTGCTGACTTCCTTGGTGTTGGCCACTTCTCCATGCGCTCCGTTCTGGGCAACTTCCTCGTCGGCTCGTTCCAGCTGAACCACTCTGCGAACTGCCCTGCATTACTTCCTCGTTCGGTCTGCGGAATGAGATCGGTCTATTATGCCGCACATGCCCTGGGTCTTCTATCACAAAGAATTTAGTCATTCTCTCTTCACGGCGGCGACGCCGTTTGGCTATCTGCTCCCTGCGTCTACGGTCTCTCAACTCGGGTGAGGCCATTTCAAACTCATCCATTTTGATGAGGTCATTGACTGTCAGGCGCAGCTTGTCCAGAAACAAACCCCGAAGCCCCCGAAACACCCCCGAAACAAGTTTGTCCGCGCCGTGGGTGCGTTCCCAAACATCCGGCGGGGTGAGTGTAGGGCGCGCCTTCCAGTACAACACTGTAGTGGTCCCGCACAATGGCTTCGAACGCGCGCTGGGGATCCGTCATATAGCGGACGTACTCAGCGCATACCCTTCCCATGTTGGTCCACTCAGCCTCTTTATCATCCTCATAGGGACTCGGGAAGAACGCAAGCGAACCGCCCGATTGGAGATGGCGCTCCAGTGCAATAAGCACTTGCCTCATTTCTCGGCTTCCCGGTGTAGTGTCCGGCCAAACTACAATGGTGGACAATGCGATCGACATTGAAATTAATTTCTGTGCCAGCGTGCTCCAGTTTTAATAGACATATGGGGTGACGTTGTCCGCGTAGTCCACATTCGCCATCACACGACCAAATGCAGGTGGCAGCGCTATGAATATGTCATGTTCTCTCATGATAGCTACACCTGGCACGCGTAGTTTCCCTTGGAGCGCAATGGCAGTGCTCAGGTGTGCCCCGAGATCATAAGGCACTGGCCACGGGAATACGGCGGGATGCTCGAATTTTTGGCCTTTTGCGTTCTCAACCGCTTCAGCATACTCATGGCAACGACGGCGGTGTGCATCTACTGCTAAAGCCAATCCATAGGGGGTGATGTAACCAGAGCTTTTCTTTCTTAGCTCCTTCTTTCTTTCATCTCCCCAACACGCCTGTTCCGCAATGGATGCGACATTAGCTAGCTGAAACATGTCCAAAACCTTCTTTGATCTCGCCATTGGATGCTTCAAACCAGGCAATGCGACGTGTGCCATCTGCCCGAACAAGCCACGTTGACACTGGTGACGTAGGTTCAGCGGATGGTCGATGCCGAGTAGGGCCCTGGAAACGAAAACTTAATTGCATATTATCGCCTGATTAGATGTTGGAACTTTCTTACGAGGGCTACCTACTATGGGATCATCCGAGACACTTGCTGGCAATTTTCTTAGTGTATCAAAGGGCACTCTCATTGGTTCTTTATTCTGACCTATTAATGTTATCAAAGCACTGTTCTCACTGGTGTCAATCACCCGGTATGGGCCTTCCCAAGGGTTGGTCAGCTTGGGGTTGAGTGTTAACCGTTCACTGGGAATCCTTACATAGACCCGATCACCAATTTTCACCGGTGCTTCGTGCGCTTTCTTCTCCCGGTCGTAGTACACCTTCATTCTTTTTCGCATCCTATCGTTGATCTCAACAGCATAGTTACGTGCTATCTGGGTTCCGACCACTAATTCTTGCACGTAGCTGTCCATGTCCACCATATACTCGGTCACTCGAGTATCTGGGACCGATGTCCAAGGTACATAGGCGTCAAAGCCATGCAGCAAGAAGAATGGTGATTTTCCGGTAGATTCGTGTACGGTGGTATTGTATGCAAAAACGCAATTAAGTAAAACCTTGTCCCACTCGTTTGGCACTTGCACTTTTTTCCACAACATTTTGATGATGGTCTGATTGAACCTCTCCGTTATGCCATTTTCAC